AGAGCGAGAGGCCTCAGGAATAGAGACACTGCAGAGGAAGGACAGTCTAAGGTGGCTTGTGACCTTGTCCCCTCTATAAAGGCAACAGGAAGGCAGACACAGTACACAGGTACTGACATGGGAAAGGTTCAACACATTTTGAGGGAGAAAAAGCAAACTGAGGGAAAAAATTCACAAACACACAAGAAGTAGGAAGAACCTAAGGAATCCACAAGGTCACAGGATAAATACAAGACTAATATTACTTAATTTTTTTAAAAATCAGTTGTACTTTTACTTGCTAGCAGAGAACTAGGAAAAACTCCAATTACAATGGCATAAGAAACTATAAAATACTTCACAATAAGCTTATTTTAAAACCACACAACACTGATGACAAAAATTAAATAGGGAGACATACCATGTTAATGGACTTGAATATGGTCAATTAGTTTCTCCTGAAACTAATCCATAGGTTCAAAGCAACCTCAACCATAACCCCACTAAGTTTTTGTTGCTGTTCTTAAAGAAATTGACAGGTTAATGGTAAAATTCAGGTGGAAATGTCCTAGAATATCCAAAACCATCTTAAGACAGAAGAACCAAGATAAAGAACATGTACTGTCCAACTTCTAGGCTTACTTTGTAGCTATGGTAATAAGACAGCAGGTGCTTGCTAAGGCGTAATCTGATCAGTGGCACAGAAGTAAGTCCAGATACAGACCCACACTTAGGAGGCCATCTGGATTTTAAAAGGCATCAAATAGTCCAATGAGACAAGAAAAGTCTCTATAACAAATGGTGCTTAAACAACTAAGTCAGACATCACGTTGGAATGAAGAAGACCTTGAACCACTAGCTCACATCACAGACTAACATTAACTTGAGATGGATCAGAAACCTAAATATAAAAGCTAAAAGTACATACAAAGTGTTTAAAAGAAAGCATCGGAAAATATCTTCATGACTTGGGATTTAGCAAAGCTTTCTTACACAATAACCACGTAAGAAGAAAACACATAAATTAGACTTCTCGGAATCAAACTTCTGTTCACCAAAAATAAATTCTTATGAAAATGAAATGGCAAGTCACAGTCTGGGAGAAAATATTTGAAAAACACAAATCCCATCAAGGACCAGTTCCAGGATATATAAAGAATTCTTGGCTCAGTGCCTGTGGCTCAAGTGGCTAAAGTGCCAGCTACATACACCTAAGGTGGCAGATTCGAATCCAGCCCAGGCCCACCAAACAACAATGACGGCTGCAACCAAAAAGTAGCCAGGCGTTGCGGCAGGCATCTGTGGTCCCCAGCTACTTGGGAGGCTGAGGCAGGAGACTTGCTTGAGCCCAGGAGTTGGAGGTTGCTATGAGCTGTGATGCCACAGTACTCTACCCAGGGGAACAGCTTGAGGCTCTGTCTCAAAAAAAAAAAAAAAAAGAATTCTTAGAGGGCACTAATAAAAACACAAACAGCCTCGTGGAGAATGAATTTCACTGATGACGCAGCTCCACTGGGTATTAAGACAGGAAAATGCTCTTGCTGTGGCAACGGAGATCACCAGCACCATAAGCCACCACGTCACTGTCACCGGACGGCCAAGACTGAAGAGACACACACCACAGGCTGCAGAGCGACGAGCAGTGGAATTTTCACACACTGTTGGTGGGAGTGTAAATGTACAACCACTTTAGAAAAACGTCTGGCAGTTGCTTATAAAACTAAACATACACCTACCCTATGACCCAGCGTTCCATTCCTGAGTATTTACCCACGAGAAATGAAAACATGTCCACAAAAAGACTTGTAAAGAATGTTCATAGCAGCCTTATTCATAGTAGCTAAAAATGGGAAAACGCCCAGGTGTCCATCACTAGAAAAACGAGCAAGAGTATATTCATACAATGAAATGCTTCTCAGCAATAAAAAGGCACGGACTGCTACATGTAGTCCGGACGGGTTTAAAAAAACATTATTCGCAAAAGAAGCCAGACAAAAAAAGAATGCATTCCACATGATTCCACTTGTATGAAGTCTAGAGCAAAAAAGCCTCAGCTACAGACGAGGATGAGGCTACCGGGGAGGTGCCTATGAGCCAAGCCGTCCTCTGTACCCAGGGCTCGTGGGGGCAGGAGCTGCATCGCATGGGACCAGCCTGCTTGAGTGTGGCTATCCTCCAAGGGCTCGAGTGCAGGACGCAGAGCCATGTGCAGGAAAGTGTACTGGTGTCAGCAACTCCCTCTGGAAAGCATGAGAAAACAGCTTGTGGACAGAGGCGCACAGGAACTGATGGGTGAACAGCTACATGGTGAAGATGAGAGAATCCACATGGAAGACAAAGGGTATTCACCTGTTCTTTTCACTTTCCCAAGTAAAATATTTCATAATAAAATATTGAGATGTGGACACAGCTACAGCTATGCTCAGAGATGAACTTTCAGCCTTTCATTCCTAACAAAACACATGAAGTTCACAAGCTAAGTAACTCGAACAAACCTGAAGAAAGTTCAACAGGAAATTAATACAGCAAAAACTAGTAATTTGGAAAACAAAACAGAATTAATTAATCCATGAATTAATTCCTAGAATGAAAGAGACAAACTCTTTCATTCTGAACTCATATAATCTGAAATGAACGGCTCGGGGGCCCAATTGCTCAGTGGTTAGGGCGCCGGCCACATACACCAAAGCTGGGGGGTTCAAACCCAGCCCGGGCCTACCAAACGACAATGACAACTATAACAAAAAATATCCAGGTGTTGGGGTGGGCACCGACAGTCCCAGCTACTTGGGAGGCTGAGGCAAGAGAATCTAACCCAAGAGTTTGAGGCTACTGTGAGCTGTGACACCACAGCACTCTACTGAGGGCGACATAGTAAGACTCTGTTTCCAAAAAAAAACCCCAAAACGTGGGGGGTGACAGAGTGCTAAACAAAAGATAAAACATACATGAGCAACCAGCAGACAGCCCTTGGCCAACAAAGGTTGAGATCCGATCAAACTCAATTATTTTATGGGGAAAAACAAATGGCCAAAATTGACTCAAGTAATTTAAAAAAAAAAGAGACCAAGCACCATGAGTGAAAACTCACAGGTCATCAAAGAATTGTTAGTACTAACCTCTGAAAAACACACAACTTTTTAAAAACCTTCAAGAAAAAATAATGTAAATCATACTTTAACAAGTGAGCATGTAAGAAAGAAAATACTCCATGTTAATTTTACAAAGTCAGCAGAATCACACCAAAAAAAAATAACAGTAAGAAAAAAAAAATTTCAAAACAATCTTGACAAGAAAATCTTTAGGAAAATATCAGCAAATACTCTGCGTGATTAAAAAATGACTATAGGTTCCAAAACCAAAGGTGACAGAAAAGCAGGAAGTGCTGGAAAAACGTGACTCCCAGAGGGCGACCTGGACAGAAGGTCCATGGCCCACGGGACCCCAGACCCTTGGCACACCAAGAACACTGCACAGACACCAGCTGTCACAGGAGGGCGAGACCTGAAGGACATCCTGACGTGCGAGGGGTTCACAGGACCGACTGGCACAAGCAGGGGCCCCATGTGTAAGAATCTCTCACCATGGGAATGGAAACCAGGTCGTTTACAAACAAGGAGGCTCTGCAGGGCCCACAGGTGGGGTGGCTGGCCAGCCAGCACACAGCAGCCCAGTGCCCGCTGTCAAGTCCCCATGGCCACCCTTTGTGCCTCAGTTGTCCTCGAGCCCTATGGCAGCCTTCCAGGGATCCCCAAGGCATCTGCACCCAGCCCATCAGGGTGTGTCACTGGGGAAGAAGCCCCGAGACCAAGCACAGACTTACTCTGCAGCCATCGCTCCCGCCTCAGCCTCAGTTTCTCCTTCTTGGGCAGAATAGCCTTGGCCTCCGCACCTGAGGACAGAGAACACACAAGTAAGCATAAGGTGTCCAGGTGGTATTTCTGCTTAAAATACCAGGGAAAAGGACTGGAGTCCCCAACCACACAGGCCATGCCAGGTAGTGTTGCCCACACCGGACTGCTATAGCTACAGCAGCTGGTCTGTGACAGGGTTGGGTGG